CTGAGCTGCAGTCTTTAAACTATGTACAACCTTAACAAATTGCTGGTTAGGCCTCACAGCTTAGAGTATTCTGGGCACCACACTTTAGGACGGATATCCGGACCTCGGAGAGGGTGCAGAGGAGATTTATCAGAAAGTTACCAGGGATGAGGGATTATAATTATGTGGAGATCATTTTCCTGAGAGCAGAGACATGTAATAGATATGTTCAAAATTATGAGGGGTTTTGATAGAGGAGATAGGGACAAACTGGAGAGTGGGTTGGTAACCAGCCGACACAGATTTAAGATAACTGGCAGAAGAACCAGAGGGCAGACCAGGGGAATTTTTTTTTTATGCAGAGAGTTGTTACGATCTGGAATGCACTATCTGAAAGGGTGGTGGGAACAGATTTGATATTAGCTTTCAAAAGGGAATTGGATCTATATTTAAACAGGAAAACACTGCGGGGCTACAGGGTAAGAGCAGGGAAGTGGGACAATTTGGTAGCTCTTTCAAAGCCTCTTTCACAGGCTTGATGGGCCGACTGGCCTCCTTCTGCGCAATAGGACTCTATGATTCTATGAACATTGTGGGTACCGTGGGGGTTTGAAAAGGCAGAAGCAATTTTAACCCATTGTACCCACTATTATTATTATTATTATCATCATCATCATCTGAAGGAATGTTGAGACTTTAAACTGAGTTTACAATCTGTGGTCTGGTCAGGCAGATGTTAAATTTCACGCAGCGCTATTTGAAAAGCAAAGGGAGTTTCTCGCTCTGTTGGCTTCTGGGCTGACTATCCCCTTCATTCATTACGGTTCCCTGGGTGTGTGCAGGATGATATTACCGTGTTCAAATCAACTGCCGTGTTCACCCATAAAACACAGTCACTGCACTTCACAGTGAATTCTGTCGAGCTATTTGAGTTGTCCTCCTGATGTGAAAGGTGCTGTATCTAATGCAGGAATTATTTCATGAGCTATTAAGCAAAGCTTCGTCCTGGCTGTTGTGGTGCTGGAGCGTGGGGACGAGAAGGCAGGAAGAACGGGAATCAGTTGAGGTATATTACAATGGATACACAATTGGTTGACAGGGAGAACCCATGGGGTTGGTGGCACAGGGAATGGCATCAGACTGGGAAAATGTTACCAGTGGAGTTCCACAACGGGGTTTTGGAACCTCTTTTGCTGTAATATTTTTATAAATGATCTGGAACTAGGAGTCGCACGCACAGCGGCTAAGTGTGCAGGTGTCACAGAAGGTGGCAGATTGCAAAGCTGAACAAGATAGGCTCCAGGAGGATTGGAACATACTTGGGAATTGGGCAGATTGGTGGCAGATGAGGAGAAATCAATGTGGAGAAATATAAAGTACTTCACATGGGGACAAGAAATCTTGGAAGGGACCATTATTTGAATGGTAGGAAAATAATACATATGGAAAACGAAAAGGACCTGGGGGTCCTGATTGGCAATAAATTGAAGCTCTCCCACCAATGCTCCATGTCACTGAGTAAAGCAAACCAGATATCGGGACGTATCAAAAGATTAACAGCAAGCCGAAATAGCGGGGTAATCCTGCCACTGTATAAACCATTGGTGAGACCATGCTTAAGAGAGTACTGTGTGCAATTCTGGTCGCCGCAGAACAAAAAGGATATTGGAGAAATAGAGGGCAACCAAAATAATTGAGGGAATGGAAGGACTGGACTATGAGTCTGGACTGGACTAAGTAAATTGGGCATGTTCATGCTGGAAAAGAGCTGACTGAGAGGTGACACGGTTGCTCTCTTTTAGATGCTAATGACGGGCTGTTTCAACTTGTCCAGAATAGTAAAAACCAGAGGACACGGCCTGCGATTGAAGGGGTAAATTCAGAACTGGTCTACGCAAACACTGTTTTGAGTGAGCGAACAGTGAACCTGTGGAACAGGCTCCCCAGGGAGACGGTTGAAGCAGGAAGTGTTGATACTTTCAAACACAGATTAGATAAGTTTTCTTTTAGGAAATATTACGGGATACAGTACATAAGTAGTTTGGGACATATGTGCATGAGACCGCCAGGAAGGTGGAAGGCGAACTATATGGACCTTCGTCTTTTTTCGTCTAGCATTTCTTTTGCTCTTATGTAATGCCCCCCCCTCCCACACACACACGAACACTCACACCAATGACACCCCCCTTCCCAAACACACACACACACGCTGACATCCCTACACCAACGCTCACACAGCAACACACACGCACCAACACTCATGCACAGTAACTCACGCGCCAACACTCACTTACACACCAACTCTCACACCCACACACCAACACTCACATACCAACAATCATGCATCCATACATTCATACACCCAAACACTTACACAAACACACGCACCAACACTCGCACATCCATACACCGACACACTCACACCGACACTCACTCACCCCGACACTCACACGTCCACTCACATTCACACACCAACACTCACATCCGTACACCAACACATATCCACCAACATTCCCACATCAACACACATACAAACACTCACACACCTATGCAGAACCATACACCAATCACACACAACCTCACACCAACACACACTCACACACCAAACCCCCCCCCACACTCACATCAACATTCCCCCACACTCAACACACCAACGGCCCCCACACACTCACAACACCCCCACACATACACACACCAATGCCCCCACATTCACACCGACATTCACCCACAAACATCCACACACGAACAGCCCCCCACACACTGACACATCAAAACCCCCCACACACACTCACACACCAACATTCATACCCATACACCAACACTCGAACAGCAACACACATGGTCGAAGAGGAAGATCTTCAGGTGCAATCTTAAGATGGCAAAGAGGGGGTGAGGTGGAGTGATCAAGGCAGAGACTGACAAGAGCTGCAGGTGTAACGGCCGAAAGCTCGGCCACCAATGATTATTGAATAGAAGAGCCAGGAAACGTATAGGAAGGCACATGTAGAATCTCCAGTGTATTTAAATACTTATTTGTGTAGAAATACAATCTTAATAACAATCCTCACATTTGGTACAGTCCCTTTCACAACGGGAGGATGTCCCAAAACTCTTCGGAGGATGAACTGTAAAGTCTGGTGACCATATGAATTGTGGCAGCCAATGGTCTGGTGACCATATGAATTGTGGCAGCCAATTTGCACATAGCGATTTCCCGCAAACAGCAGTGAAGTGAATGACTGATTTTATCGGGGAGGGGTGAGGGAGGGGGAGGTGGGAGAGATTTCAGCCGGAAGACTGTGAGAGAGAAATTCCCATATCTTTAAGATTCTCGGGATCTTTAACATCAACCTGAACACGCACAGATGTGGGGCTCAGTTCAACGTCTTATCCGAAGGACGGCATCTCCGCCAATGCAAAAACTCCCCACCACCCCTCCCAGGCACTGCGCTGGAGTGTCAGCCTCCATTACCTTGTTTCAAACGAAAGGCAACGTGCTTCGACTGACATCTCCTAACCGACCCTTAAGACTGACAGCCACAAATCCAGTGGAGGTACGAGCCTTGAAAGGGGACATCTGAGTGAGCATTGTACAGCAGTGTATATCAACTTGCGTCAGGTCGCGTTATTTAAGATAATAAATGGGATTGAGAAATTAACCTGCCTCAGTCGGCAACACCCCGAGTCAGGGGTTGTGGGTTCAAGCCCCAAGTGAAGACTTTTGAGCTCACACGCTTGGCTGACATTCCTGCACAGCGTGGGGTGGGAGAGAAAAAGCCTCATTGTCCGAGACATCGTCCTTTGGATGAGATGTGAAACTGAGCTCCCAGTCCTTGCCCTGTTCAGGTAGATACTAAAAATGCCATGGTGCTATTCTCTAGCCCCCCGGTGTCCTGGCCAACAATCCCCCAAAGAATATTGGTCACTCACTTCATGGCTATTTGTGGCGACGTCACTGTGCGCAAGTGGCTGCAGTATTTGCTTACAAAATACACACATTTACTGCACTTTACAGTCGACGCATTTTAAGACGTCCTCTTGACCTGAACGAAGCTGTACCAAACGTAACGGTTATTATTGTTGAACCTAGAACAATACTTTTAAGATATGATGAGCCAGAAGGACAAGAGGGTACAGGTTGAAAGTGAGAGAAGCACAAGTTTACAACAACATCTTGCATTATACAGTGACCATCACACGGGATAGCGTCTCGGAGGTGCTGAACCGTGGACCGTGGTGGAGCCTGACGCCGAGCCGGGGGTGTGGGGTGGTGGAGGTGACTGTAAGCAAGGTCAAAGAGGAAGGTCTTCAGTTGCAATCTGAAGACGGGCAAGAAGGGGGCGAGGCAAATGAATTGAGGCAGTGTGTGACATAGTTTCGGGGAGTCGTGGCTGAAAGCAAGGCCGCCGATGGTGGAGCAAGGAGAGGGCAAAGGATGTGCAGGGGGCTGGAGCCGGACGAGGGAGGGGGTACGGGAGCAGGTTTAGCAAGTTTAGGGACAAACACGAGACATCAGGCACCACAAAGTAGTTTGTTTTACNTTTTTGTTGTTCAGCCAAAAGTCTGCATCAAAATCAAAGCTCCACATAGGTCCGCACTGCACCTGTGCAATGGAAGTTCTCCCGTGACTGCAATAGTTATCGGCTTTGCTCGGTCGGAAGTATTCTCGTCTCTCAGTCAGAAGGTTGCAGGGTCGATCCCTGCTGCAGGAACATTAAACTCACAGCCTTGGCTGCTGCTCTGGTCCAGTGCCGGGTAATGGCTGCAATGTCAGAGGGGCCGGCCTTAAATCGACGTCCCGTCTGCCCGTTCAGGCAGACATTAAACATCCCGTGGTACAATTCAACAAAGAGAGGGAAGTTTCTCTCTCCAGGTGTCGTGGCTGACAATCTCGCAGATAAAATTGGTCACTTGCTTCGTAGCTGTGTGTGGGATGTCGATGTGCGTAACTTGGCTGCTGCGTTCGCCTACAAAGCACAGTCACTGCACTTTAGCTAACTTGCTGTAAAACACTTTGTGATGTCCTCTCAACATGAAAGGTGCTGTATCAAATTTAAGGATTATTACTTTTTGATGGATTACATGTTCGCTTTCCGGTGGCGGGGTGGGTGGGGGGGGGGCGCGGGAAGGGGGCGGGGAGGGAACCCTTTTTACCTAACTACGGAGAGCATGAGGCTTCGGGGACCCCAGAGTGTGTGCTGGGGTAACTGCTGGAATCTAGCCGGCTAACACCAAATAGCTTGCCGTTGATATCACTGCCCGGCAGGCTTTCGCGCTGCTTGTCCAGCTAGGACCACCCGACCTGATAGCGCGTTGGCTGCAGGTTGGGGCTGGGCTCTCATCAGGAGTGCCCTGGAATACTGCGGACCCCCACGGCTCGGGAGCCGGGCGCGAGACCGTCACATTCCTCATCCGTCTGACATTCCAAATCCATCGCCTGTTCATTTGCCCCCTCAAGCAAGATAACAACAACTTGCATTGATACAGCGCCCCTCAGGCAGGGAGCGTCCCAGAGTGTTAAAACTGCTGATAACTTGACCCCGGTTAAACTTGTCGCTACCACTGAAGTCATCGCGCTGTCAATATCCTTGCGAAATCCGACAGCAATTACTTACGCATTTATACGTACGCCTAACTTGTTGTTGAGCCCTTTTGCCTGGGGAGTGACAAGGTATCAGCAGTTTACTGTAGCATTATATAACTGACTGGAACAGGAAGCATGATTAAAGCCAGGAGAAGCGGTTTGGTTACTGTAACGGGAAGGAAGTCCTCACAGCAGCCAAAGCGTCATAAACACTCACGTACATGGTATCAAGCGGACTAACGCGAGTCTATCTCTGATCGTCAGACTCTGCCCACCCACCACCCACCCCCCCACTTAATGCCAATGGTTGGTCACCAGGCTTCAGTCGGGATGGTCTGGCTGGAGGTGTGGAGTGGGGTGGGAGGAAGAGCCAGAGACAGAGCAAGAGGGAACCACTGGCGTGGGCGCTGCAGGGGGAGAAGTAGGGGAATGGGACGAGACCCACAGACCAACCCATCCCCATCCCCCACCGGCCACTAAAACAGTCAGCTGCCCAGCCGCCCGCCAGGCGAGCGAGCGAGCGAGCGGGTTAGAGGTCAGGAATGACATTGAGGTCGGGGATGATGCTGAGGTCGGGGAGAGAGCCTGGAGGCCCTGCTGTGGCGTGGTACAGCTTGGAGCAGGCGTTCTTGTGCCGAGTGAAGCTGTCCCTCCACATGAACTTCTTGCCGCACAGAGGGCAGTCGTAGGGTTTGTGTCCGGTGTGGATCTTCATGTGCCCCACCAGGTGGTGCTTCATCTTGAACTTCTTGCTACAGATGGGGCAACCGAAGGGCCTGACGTTCAGGTGCATGCTCATGTGCCTGTCCCGCTGGCTCTTGTGGGTGAAGGTCTTCCCGCACTGGCAGGGGTACAACTTGTAGACGCCAGCGGCAAAGTCCGAGTTGGGGGTGACGGGGCCCGAGCTGGGCCCAGCCTCGCCCCCTGGGACACCGTACGCTCCGTCCTCCTGGATCTCGCCCGCAAGGACCCCGTCTGCGCCCACCCCACCGGGGCTGCCCTCCATCCGGTCGAAGGAGAAGTCGTCCGAGGAGCCGTAATAATCCACCGGCTCGTCGTAGCCCGGCTCCTCCTGGAAACCCTCGTAATCGCCGTCTAATCGGTGTTGCTGGGCCTCATCGCTCATGTCCTCAATCTCCGCCCCATCCTCCTCCTCTTCCTCTTCCTCTTCCTCCATCCTCCGGCCCTGTCCGTCCTCCTCGCTCCCTGCCACCCCGCGGTCCGGCTTCACGTAGACCCAGCGCTTGTGCGGCACGATGCTGGGCTGGCTGTAGCCGGGGGGCTGGGGGTATCCACCTCGCTCCGGCTCAGGCCCGGCCCCGATCCCACCAACCTCGGCCTCCAGCGAGTTACTCGTCACATTGTCCTGCTCCACGTCGCGGTCCGAGGCTGGCCGGACTTTCACCTCCTCCTCCTCTTCCTCCTCCTCCTCTTTCTGGCCGCCTCCCTCGGCCCTTCCCTCGTCATCGCCCTCCCCCGTCCGCTCGAACTTGGTCGGGCCGTTCGGACCTACTTCGCCAGGTTCCCAGGGACTAAAGTAGTTGCTGCTGCTGGGAGACTGGGTCTCGGTCGCCTGGCTGGACGGAGGCTGGATCTCTTGCAGCAGTTCGGTGCACTTGTCCACCAGGTGCCACATCTGGAGGAAGCTGGCCACTGTCAGGTAGCTGACTATCTCGGGAGACATGATGGTCAGTTTGCCGGTGTAGGACGAGGCCAGGATGCTCTCGAAGGCCTTGGGGCTCATGATGCCGGGCAGCACGATGCGGCTGGTATTCTTTAGCAGCACCTGATCGTGGAAGTAGGGGGAGGAGGCGGCCAGCACCGCCCGGTGGGCTCTGAAGGTCTGTCCCTGCAGGTGGATGGTGATGTCGCACAACTTCCCCTCCATCCGCTGCTGGTTCAGCCGCTTCAGCACATTGTGTCCAAAGTTGGGGAACTCGACCTGAAAGATACCGGGCTCCATGTAGCAAAGGGGAAGGCGGAGGAGCAGGCGATCGTCGCAAAGAGTATCCTGCGTGTGTGCGGGGGGGGGGGGGTGGGGGGTGCGGGGAGAAAGCAGAGAGGAAAGACAGGGTTAAGTTGCCATTCGCTTCACGAGGTCAACAAGAGCGCGTCAGCCTTGTTCAGGTGGATGTTAAGCTGCCGTCAATACCCCCCGAATAAAATTGCTTGTGGGACACCTGCGTGCACAAGCGACACAGCGCCGGGTTCGCCTGCGATAAACCCAGTGCTGTGCGATCTTTAGCATCGACCTGAACAGGCGCACAGAGTAAGTTTAACATCGCATCCGAAGGACGGCACTGCCAACCAGACACCCCCAGCGCTGCATTCGAGGGTCAACTGTGGGAGTGGAAGTCCTGACGTGGGGACTTGGCTTCAACAACCTTCAGATTCGGGCGAGGAGAGCGCCACTCTCCGCCTTAGCCCCTGCGCCCCAACCTTCAGCACCCGCCTAAACACCTTCCTTTTTGATCCAGTCACCTCCCCCCCCCCCCCCCACTCCCTCTCCCCACCCCCCGCGCCCCCACCGGCCTGTGATCAGACTCCACCGCTGTTAGCGCTCTGGTACTCTACCCCCGCGAGTAGTTGTTGTTGTCGTCGTCGCTGAGCCGTGGCCGACACCGCGAAGGTGTCGGAGGGTATGATCCTGCATTCGATCGGACTCTTCGCAGATAATTAAGTGCGAAGGGGGAAATGGGGGGGTGGGGGGGGTGTGGAGGGGTGTTGGGAGGGAAGGGAAAGAGAAAGCGGGTGGCGGCGAGGGTGTTGGCAGGCAGACGAGTCGGCCGAGTCTGTCAACGCTACTGTCAAACAAACAGCCGCAAAACTGAGCAACCGGTCGGGTCAGAGGACACTGTCTACAAAACTGCCTTCTCTTTCGCAATGCAAACGCTGTGCGGTCACCGCAGCCCCGAAAGTGTGAAGCCGGCGACGGGGTCGAGATGCAGTCTCCCCCCCGTCCCCCCCCCCACCCGCCGTCCCCCCCCCCGTCCCCCCTCGTTTCAAGGGGAACACCGCACCTCGGCGCGTGGCGGGCGGGCGGGCGAGGGCGCGGCCGCGGCGCGTTGCGGAGCGGAAGTCGAGCGGCAGAGGATTTCTGGACGATTTGGCGCCGTTCCGTACTCGGCCGTTCACCCGACTCATAGAACGCGGGCATCGGGCGGAGCTGAGCGGCCGGAGCGCCGGCCTCGCGGACCCCGGGGTTCGATTCTCGGGCGGGGCCAGAGGTTGGGCGAGTCCCCTCACTCTGCGCGGCCGGGCGGGCGCCTCCGCTGACCGGGCAGCGAGTAGGAAAGCCGCTGAAGCCGTTCGCCCACAAACATAACAGTCAATTCGCTTGACGGCGCGTTCTGTGAAGCGCTTCGGGACGTCCTCTCCCGACGTGAAAAGCGCTCTATCAAATGCGAGGATTATTATTATTATTATTATTATTATTATTATTATTAAGAGTAAAATAAATCGGGTCGCTCCCCCCCTCCCACCCCCCTTCCCCCCCCTCCCCGCCCCGGACGTGGGAACGCCGCCGCGCACGGCTGGCGGCCCCCTTCATCCGCAAGAGGCGCTCCGAGACGCCCGGGTGGGGGGGGACGCGGCGCTGACCGACGGCCGGGACCGTCGCGGCCGCGCGCGACAGCGTATATAACGGGGGTCGGACTTCGGGGCGACTTACAAGGAGGCGGCGCGTCCGAGTGTTACGGCCGCGCGGCCTTTGAATTCGCATCCCCCAAAGCGGCCTCAGAGTGCCTCCGCCGGACAGTCACTACAGTCACTGCAGCCAGTCACTACACTGACCATCTTACACCCCCCCCCCCCCCCGCCCCCCCCGCGCTCTCTCTCTCTCTCTCTCTCTCAAAAAACACACACAGACCTTCTCTCTCATTATTCCCGTTCCTCCGTCCCTCTCTCTCTCTTTGTTTCTCTGTCACTGACTCTCCCCCTCAACACCGCAACACTGACCCTCTCAGTCTCTCTCTCCCCTCTCCCTCCCTCTCTCTCTCGGGTCGGGGCTGTTACCTGAGGCCGGGGCCGGGGGGGGGGCGGGGGGGGGGGAGGCCGGGGCCGGGGTCGCTGTCACCTGAGGCCGGGGCCGGGGGGGGGAGGCCGGGGCCGGGAGGCCGGGGGGGGGTGTCACCTGAGGCCGGGGCCGGGGGGGAGGCCGGGGCCGGGAGGCCGGGGCCGGGAGGCCGGGGGGGGGGTGTCACCTGAGGCCGGGGCCGGGGGGGGAGGCCGGGGCCGGGAGGCGGGGGGGGTGTTACCTGAGGCCGGGGCCGGGGGGGGGGGAGGCCGGGGGGGGGGGGCCGGGGGTGGGGTGTTACCTGAGGCCGGGGCCGGGAGGGGGAGGCCGGGGGGGGGCCGGGGCCGGAGGCCGGGGCCGGGAGGCCGGGGGGGGGTTGTTACCTGAGGCCGGGGGGGGGAGCCCGGGGCCGGGGTCGCTGTTACCTGAGGTCGGGGTCGGGGCGGTGTGGCTGAGGCCTGAGGCCTGAGGAGAAGCCTCTGTCTCCGCGGCCCCGGATACGGCAGGAAACACTGTCACAGCGCGAGGCCCCGCCCTCCCGCCCAAAGTAGCAACAGTAGCCCAATCACCAGCCCACTGTAGCCCAATCACCCGCCCACGGAAGCCCAGTAGCCCAATCACCCGCCCACGGAAGCCCAATAGCCCAATCACCCGCCCACTGAAGCCCAATAGCCCAATCACCGGCCCACTGAAGCCCAATTACCCGCACACAGTAGCCCAAACAACAGCCCAAAGTGCCCCCATCCCCAAACTGCTGTAGTCCAATCACTCACGCACAGTAGCCCAATCACCAGCCCACAGTAGCCCAATCAACCACCAGCTCAAAGTACCCCAATTATCAACCCACAGAGCCCCCATCACCAAACCCATCACTGTAGCCCAACCACCAACCTACAGTAACCCAACCACCAGCCCACATTAGCCCATCACCAGCCCACAGTAGCCCAACCACTAACGCACATTAGCCCAATCACCAGCCCACAGTAAGCCCATCACCAGCCCACAGTAGCCCAACCACTAACGCACATTAGCCCAATCATAACCAATCACCAGCCCACAGTAGCCCAATCACCTGCCTAATACCAACCAACAGTAGCCCACCATCAGTCCAATCACCACTCCACATTAGCTCAGCCACCTGCCACCTGTGGAGTCCTGTAGCTCAGTGGTTAGAGCACTCGCTTTGCGAGTGAGAGACCTGAGTTCAATTCCAGGCAGAGGGCCAAACCTCAGGCAAGTTTCCTTACTCCACACAGAGCCTAATAATAATCCCTCCAAAACCAAAAACAATAATAAATTGGTCATTTTCAATCTACGACTGTTTGTGGGACATTGCTGTGCGCAATTGGCCGCCGCGTTCGCCCACAAATATATAGTCAATTCACTATACAGTCAGTCTATTCTGTGAAGCGCTTTGGGACGTCCTCCTGACGTGAAAAGTGCTATATCAAATGCAACGATTATTATTATTATTATTATCATTAGTTCAATGTGACACAATCACCAGCCCGCAGTAGCCAGACTACAATACAAGACTATAATATCCCAATCACCAGCCCAATCACAAACCCTAAGTAGCCAATAAGCAGCCCACAGGAGCTCAATCACCAACCTACCATAGACCAATCACCAACTAACAGCAGCCCAAACACAATCCCACAGTAGCCCAATCACCAGCCCAATCACAAAACCGCAGTGCCCAATCTTCAGCCCATAGTAATTCAGTCAACGTATCCAAATCACTAGCCCACAATTGCCCAATCATCAACCTAATCACAAGATCACAGTGCTACAATGAAGAGCCCACAATAGCCCTATCACCAGCTCAATCACCAGCCTATAGTATCCAAATCACCAGCCCAATCACGAACAAAGTAGCCAATCAGTAGCACACAGTAGCCCAAACACCAGCCCACAGAAACCCAAACACCAGCCCACAGAAACCAAAACACTAAATCACTGAAGCCCAAACACCAATACACTGTGGCCCAATCACCAGCCCACAGTAGCCCAATCACCTTCCCACAGTAGCACAACCACCAGCCCACAGTAGGCCAACCATCAACCCACAGTAGCCAAATCATGAGCCCACAGTACCCCAATCACCTGCCCAACTTTGTCCAATCACCAACCCACAGTACCCCAATCACCAAACCACTGTGGCCCAATCACCAGCCCACAGTAGCCCAATCACCTGCCCAATCACTGAGCAACATTAGCCCACGACCAGTCCAATCACCACCGCACAATAGCCCAGCGACCTGCCAGATCACTAGCTCAATGTAACGCAATCACCTGCCCGCAGTAGCCAAACCATAATCAAGACTGTAATATATATCCCAATCACCAGCCCAATCACAAATCCAAAGTAGCCAATCAGCAGCCCAATCACCAGCCCAGAGAAGCTCAATCACCAACCTACCATAGACCAATCATCAGCCCACATTACCAATCGACAGTAGACCAATCACCAGCCCATAATAGCCAAATCACCAGCCCAATCACTAAACCACAGTAGCCCAATCATCAGCCCATAGTAGCTCAATTACAATAACCAAATCATCAGCCCCCAGTAGCCCAATCACCAGGCCACAAAAGCCCAATCACTAACCTAACCAAAAGTTCACAGTGTTACAATCGCGAGCACACA